GTTCTAAGTAAGTATAGTCTCGTATATAGGTAATAAGTATGTATTATATTATATTATATATATATATATATATATATATACTATATATATACACTCACACAAGCATATCCATAAGCAACCAAGTTAGCACAAATTAAGTTAAATTAGTGAAAGTAACACAAAGTTAGTGAGATATAGACTGTGTTTGTAAGTTTAACCATAAAGAGTGTATAGTGGCGACTTTTATAGTGTTATAATCACAGATTATATTGTAATAAACAATGTAGATAAGAATAATTCATCTTGTTAATTGGATTTTAAAGTAACTGAACCTGTCTGTGTGGACTTTTGACGTAAAATAGAATTATTTAAAGCTCTGTATACAACTATGGTAACCCACGGGGTAAAACAAGGGAATTTATCACTAATTATATTGTAGATAATAATTTGTCTCGTCAAAGGGTGTTCTAAATTAATTGAATTCGCCTGTGTGGACTTTGACAAAAAACAGAAACAATTATTTAAAGCTTTGGATAGAACTGTGATAACCAATACTGCAACGAATTTTTGTACATATGTATGAATTGTTTCGAATATATTACTTTAAAACAAGTATATTGTGTGCTGTCCGTTCATTATTCAAATTTATCCTAAACAAGTCACAGACCGTAAAGAAAAACCAAATCCAATGGCTAGATTCTTTTACACTTCAGTACTCTAAAGATATTTAGTATTTAATACTTATTTATACACGTGTATAATTCAATGTGAAAGGGTATTTTGGTACATATTATATAACGTTCGTGCATCTCAATAATAGCCTACTTCTATATTGATAAGTGTATTTTGTAACTAGTCTTTGGGTTTAAGAGCATGATTCTATAACATCAATTTTAACTTGGATCCATACTGTCCTGGAGTAAGGAAACGTGAAGTTGTAACATACCATAACATTTTTTGTAACTAGACAACAATCGTTATTCAAGAAATTTCCACTCAATTAAAGTACCCAATATGTTTGTTAAATTACACCTACCATGCAAACAGGATGTATGTGGTCACACATGGCAAAGGTTAATGTAAATGCATCTCCTCCTGTACATGGCCAGTGCACTAAGTCATAGATCATTTTATTACAGTATCTAGTGTTCTGGACACATGGGTTACTTCTCCTTTTGATAATTAGTTCCCTAACATGTGTGATGAAGCCATTTAAGTGTTGTAGAACCTTAAGTTTAATACTGTTTCCAACAGAAGCTAGTACTTGGCTGACTTTCTTTACAGTCCTTCTGTTCATTCAAGTTGAGAAGCAAAGATTAGTTGGTAAGAAACCGTTTCTCATTACATTTGGAAATTAAAATTATACATTGAAGAATCAGTTTAATTCAGACAAAATAAACTATTTCTCTGAAATGTTTTATTAAATCAGTTGTAAATACAAGGGCTTTTTTTCAACATTTATGCAAATATCTATTTGCCCTTCTTTGCCTTGATTTTCCTTACATAGAACTCCAGTTCTTTTCCTTCTAGAATGTAACCGTCTGATCTACCACACTGGCCAGGTCGAGAAGAAATACAAGCTGGAAAGAAAAACAACAAATATTATAAATACTTCAAATTCCTTTAGTCACTCTAAATGTTATTTTTTCAAATTTAAAGAAATACAAAAAAGGCAGTCAGAGTAACTATGACTTACCATCCTTGAAAGAATAAGATGTTGTAAAACAAAAGATCCTCTCCAGTAAAATAAACTTCATCATTCTGCCCAACTTTTATGTAATTAGAGAAACAATGAAGTATTTTACGTACTTTTATTGGTCTTAAACAATATTAGTAAAAAGCTAATTATCATAACTGAAAATGTCTTATGTATCGAAATCTAGAAGTTTGAGCTGAGAAGTTACCTAGTATAAATAGAAAAGTATTCAAGTGACACGCACAAATATTCCTTTCAGGGCAAAAACTAAGTAAATCTTACAACAATCAACAAGTCCAAATTCGGTGACAAGGAACCCACTTTGAGACTAATAATGTCTGGAGACGGCTTGAATGGGTAATGAAGAAAAACTTTAATATAACAGCAAATGTACCCAATGATGGCAAAACCTTGTCGAAGCGTTGTACATTTGCTGTTATATTAAAGTTTTTCTTCATTACCCATTCAAGCTGTCACCAGCCATTATTAATCAACAAGTCCATCTTTCATACATTTATAACATCAGCAGGAAAATCCTGTAATAATAATTTTGTTAAATACAAGCATTATATTAAATACCACCATTATCAAAATTGTACTTTTGATCTCATGAATATTTTGGTCAAAAACCATTGGTTTTTGTTCAAGCTAATAACAAGAATGTGCACAACAATGTTCTTATGAAATATGAACCAACCAAGCACTCGGCCTGTCATAAACTGTTCCTCTACTGCTTGTTCAACTTTGGCATGCTTCTGTCTTTCCTTGTATTTCTTCTCTGTTTTTTTGCTTCTTTTTTTATTAAGCACAGCCTCTTCTGCCTCAGTCTGAAAGATTCATGAATACAAAAAAATAAATTAAATTTGCCACAGAGGTTCTTGCATGTTTATTTATTTATGCCCACCAAATATATGCTATATGATGACAAATACTTCAATACTATGAAAAACAAGCTTTAGTTATACAAAATATTTACCTTAAACATATTAATAAGCTTTAAATACACAAACTAAGCACATATATAAGCATTTTCTCAAATCGGAAAAATTATTTGCCAAAAAGCTTATCTAATTTAAACTATTAAAATTTTCACCTATTTACACAATATTTTTTTTAATTACTTGTTACAAGGCTCTGGTAGAATTGTATATTTTTTGTACTAAATTAACAATTTAACCATAATCTTAATAACTGACTATAAAACTGGTTCATTCTAACTTGTATCCAAACAAAAATCAAAGGTAATACAGTTGTTTTACAAGATCATTCACAAAATATTCTACATGCACATAAAGAACTACACATCTTACATAGCTATTAAAATTAATAATTATATCCTTTTTCTTATGACCCCATGAAGAGTCTTTTCGTTATTAAAACATTTGATAAGTTTTACGATGACTGTAGTGGAATTTTTAAACTAAGTGAGAAAATATAATTAAAATATCAAAATACCTTTACAGGTGTAAACCAACCACATGAAAAGATACTGATTATTTAGAAAGCATTTTACTCTCTACAAATCACACAGTCTTGTAACTATTTCACTGCCAGGTTTATTTTAAATATGCAATAAAAAACAAAAATACATCTTAGTATTTACTTACTTATCTAAGAAACTGGTAATCTCTAAAGGACAATACCATTTATTCCTGGTCGTACTTAAATATGTAAAAGAGCTAATCTAAAAGAATGAGTCTAAAAAAGTTACCTAGGTACTCTTTTAGATAAATTACAACTTACCAGTTTTGCTCCCTTTTTTCTACCAAGGGGAACAGCATAATGGGCTTCATACCAATGTCGGAAGGGTGTGGCATCAATTAGAACAATGCCATTTTTCACTAGGGTTTTGGTACGTACTAACTCGTTGTTGCTGGCATTATAGACAGTATCAATAATCCTAGTCTTCCTAGTGCAGTCTGAAATAAAAGCCAAACCAGAAAAATAAACTTAAAAAACAACAACAACAGAGGAAAAACCATTTATTCTTCTCGTTGACTTCAGAGCGCTGTAGAAATGTCATCAAACAACTCTCAGAGATATATTCTCATCATAGCCAATTTGTATGGTTATATAAACTAAAAATTTTAAGATTGTTGCAGTTATTAAAAAATAAGAAAATTAATTTTTTTCCAAACACAAAACTTTTTAAAAAGCTTCACGAATGCTATTTCAAAATATTAAAAATACTTGCTTTCTGATGCCCAAGAAAAGTTGCCATGATCAAGTCTAAGAGCTCTGTACTTTTTATTTCCTCCTCTTGTTCTCACAGTGTGGATTCTCTTGGGTCCAATCTATAAATGAACAATTGATTAAGAATCCAATTCAAAAGTTTTTGAAAATAAAAGTGAAAATAGTGAATGATTCATCCGATAAAGGAAAAAATAAATAATTAAGATATAGAATGTAATATGCAGTGTACTATTCTACGTTTAAAAAAATTGTAGTTTGTTGTCATAATCAAAATCATTTGGTATTTTCTCTTTGCTTAAGCACTGGTTATTTTATTAATTAAAATGTAGTTTTATGGTATACTTTTATTGTTATTATTATTACTGTCTAGTATTGTGTCAGTGGTCTCTAAACTAAAAATATTGAAGTGGTATAACTTTTACTAACTCCACAAGCTCATAATCTAGGCAATGAATAATGAAACAGTTTCTTTTTCACAGTTAATCTCTTAGGTATACCTGATTACCTGTACCTAGTACTTGCTTGAAGAATAATTTCTGGCACACTCTGGTTTATGGAATGCAATTACCATATTCTAAATATGATGTTTCAGACTATGTCACAATGAAGTAGGTAATTGAATGTCATACATAACAGTAAAGTTAATGACAGCACACTTTTCTTCAGCATCTATCTCAACGTGACAATCATGAACCACTGTAGTGGTTCATAATAGAGATCCCCCATTTGTTCTTTATTATTATATAATGTTGTTTCACCAGCCCACAGTAAAAATGGCTGTGAGCATTTTAACAAGACGTAGGCAGTATTACTAAACACATTGTATAGGGCAGTTTTTTCATTTATCTGACTACCTGGCAAATAACAGTAGCTGTAAAACAGTGGACATCCAATCATTTTAATGTAGTCTGTGTTTATACTGAGCCTCATAATCTACTACATGCATACGTATATAGCTGCATGTAAGCATTGGATGTAATTTACTGTTTATATGGCAAGCAGGACAGATGTACCATAGCAATCGCAACTGCACTGATGTCATGTATCACTTGCTTATGTATAGGATTTCTGCCCTTTCAGAGGTCACTGCATGATCAAATTCAGCCATGTTACACAAACATCTAAAACATCATATAAAGGTTTAGGCTGTTTCCCACAATAGAAATCTTTAAGCCATAGTTTAAAAGATAGCACCATGCTTAGTTTCACGCATTGGATGGGCAATCATGGTGATGGCTGATGGTATGTGCCAAAAATTAGAGCTAAAACTGTGTAACTGTGAACTTTATTGATACTGCAGATAGAGCAGCCATCCTTGAAGCTGACTTTAAGTGGCAAGAATCGTTCTAGCAGGAGATGGTGAAAATTATGGCATTTCTAGGTGAAAACGAGGCAGTAATTTTGTAGCTATACATTTTATTTAGAAAATGTTTCATATAAATTATGCAGCAGTGGTATCCCACCAGAGTTTAGGGTCGTAGAAGCGTCATGACCCAAGCTCCATCAGATATGGAGGGGGAAAGATAATATAATTAATACATAATTATTAATTAAAATGTTTTTAACCTTGTAGTGTGTGCAGAATGTCACTCTAAGAGGAAACCTGGCCAGATGCAGCAAAACGGTGACTGGCTTTACTGTGGCCAGCAGAGAGGAGGAAGGGAGAAATATAACAACTATAAGAGATATAAAAAAATTTATACATATCCTATTATATTATGACACATTCTTATATTTGCATGCATCTACACAACTTAAAAAGTTCTATCTATACACATACACACTGCTTTACAACATAAAAACAATAAAGCCTGTATGTATGTGTGTGTGTGTGTGTGTGTATATATATATATATATGAGAGAGGGAGAGAACTGTAGCTTGTCTCAAACCTTAAGTTTGTTTGCTACTTTTTTACAATTGCATTTTCACTTTAAGCTACCTATCTTGTTTCTGTAATTTTTTTGAAGATCCTATTTCTCCTTTTTAAATTAACAACTTTTAATAATATTGTTCATAAGGGTTTAAAATAAACAAACATGTTACTGATATTGGTTCTACATGGATACATTTTATTACTAACTGTTCAGTTAGTCCATCATTAATACAGTAGTAGCTAATTATATAATTATCTCATCACAGGTAACCAGAGTATAACAGTTACATTTCCAATATTTAAAATTTCTGAATAATAATATTTTAGCTTTCTAGAACGTAACCAGAACTTTTGACTGAAATATTTTTTTTATGGATTTTCTAGTACCTCTACAAATCCTGTTTAAAAAATTGTAAATGGAAAGAAAGACAGTCTCACCAATTCTATTTTAACCACAAAAGCAGTTTCAGGAATGAAAATAATGTTTAAAAAACTATGAAAAGATACCCAGATTTATGGTTTGTTACTAAGTGTTAACTTTCCACTACAACTTTAGTCCATTTGTACAGAAGCTCTGGATAACCAATATTTCAATAAATGCCATATCAAGCCATTTTATTTATTCTACAGTGGTGTCTACCATAATCTTGTCTACCCATTGACTCTAGCTATTTCAAAAGTTAGCATCATTAATGATTATTCAGACCACATGCTGTGATATAATAAAAAGTGGCAACAAAGAGCTACATTAATAAAACCATTAGAAATGAAAGAAAATCACAAACTGGGGATGCAGCATTTTATTTTCAAAGAATGACAGTTCATAAGTAAACAGACTGCTTTGAAATGTGTAGAAAAATTACAAAATCAGTAAATGCTTTGTTTTTATTGGACAATCATTAGTTCCAAACAAAAATGAAAGATGGAACGTTTTAAATTTCCCTTGCAAATTACACTAAATAAATGTAACACAATGAAATATCAATTTATTTATTTTTACCCACAAATTGTATCATTTTCTAATTAAAATTTGAAATTTAGTATGCAAGTGTGACACTTGATAGAGGACACCCAGTCCAAACTTATGATAAAAGAAATAATTTTTTCAAATTTCTCACATAAATTTTGAAAAATTCACAACTTCAAAATAATATAAGTACAAAATCAAATTTCATTAATTTTTTCATGCAGTATCTAGACATTTAAAACGTTTATACCAAATTAATGGCTAGGTCAAATTATGCATGTCGCAACCCTTCTAATAGTTAAATTCAAAATTTACTTATGTGAATGGCATTAGCGCACTGCACCAGCTCCCATTTCTGCAAAGCTATACATAGCAATATTTATTATTATTCCAAATTTACTAAATGTATCTTAATGAAATTTGGGAACAAGCTCTTAGCAAATATTACAATTCTGCTGTATACAAAAAATCAGATTCTTTAATAAAGATTTGTCTGTGAATTTATGGAATCAGTCTGACCCAAACTCTAATTAGTATGAATGCACAATGCTTTTGATGTTAAGAAAAAAATTTGTTTTTATTTCAGTTTTTATACATCAGTTGAATAATACCCCTTGAACCTTCTAAATGAATATCAAGTTTCAGAAAGATTAAAAATATGAAATAAATATAAATTACCAATTTATTCTTACAGCCAAAGCTAACAGCTATACTGAAAGCAATTTATCAAAATCTTGTGTAAAAGATTGAGTAACCTGCACACACATCAGATTACAAAATCATGTATTGCTATTAAGAGCAATTTTTTAAGCTTTCTTATGTAACCCAATAGTTTCTAATTTTTACATTTTAGTTACTTTTATAGTTATAAAATATACAACATAAAAAACAAAATTTCATACTTGCATCCAGATTTATATTTTTTGCTGCCTAAAAACTGAAGGACCATAACCAAACTTTATGTTGTTGTTAGTGTACCATAAAGATATTTTCAATTTCAAATATACAATGAAGAACACAAAATACCTTATCATGCAAAAATAAATGTCCTAAAACTACTATAGGATTATCTATTGTACAAGTGTGTAATTAGTGCCAAACTCAGACGATCATATAGGAATAAAAAATTTTAAAACTCAGAGTGAAGAAGTGTCATGATACAGAAGTGTAGTTTGAGAATTCATTTAAATATTTCCTTGAATTATAAACTAACTCTGTAAAAAGGTGGCATGCACACTTTTACCCCCTCCTCTACATATTGGATTAAACTTTATTATCAATGTATATTAATAAGTTTGGCATTAAAACAGTTTATAATTCAGTTTCATATTACCTAAGTTTTAATATCTGATGCATCTTCCCTTTGATTTTTTTTCAGATTTTCTTCATTCCCTCATAAGGATGTCAGAAGCCAACCAATCAGAAACTATATATACCAACTGGTAAGAATATACAATTTACAACTCCCACCTTCTGAAAGTACTGAGATACAACTAAGTTTGCAACACCCACCAATAAGGCTCCATCTTGCTATAACGTTGAACAAACTATCTTTACCACGTCTTTTTATAAACATTTATAACCAAAAGAAAGATAATTTTCTCCCCCACAAATATCTTCTGATGGTCACTTCTTTTTGTTACAGAGTTGTAGAGACTGTTTACACTTGAGCTCCAAACAACTAATGGTAGTTCTTTTTCTAACTTACTTATAGCCTTGTTAAAAAGCCAGCTAAATAATAGTTTTTTTAGAACATTCTATTTTTATAGCTGATAGTACTTAGTGTTCTAAAATGCATATTTGAGGTAAATATTTTGGACCAACACCAAAATTACAAAAAAGCAAAGTTAGAGTGCTTCATCTATCAACAGCAAAAATAAAAAAGAGAGAGGGAAGGGGCCTAGTCCAAACTTGATTACTACCAATCAACTAAGTTGTGAACTTTTGCAATTAAAACTAGGTTTGAAGTATTGCCATTTTCTACTAAAAAAACTGCAGCAAAACATTTAATATATTTTAAACCATTTTAAAAGAAACCTATAGTAGTGAATATTCCTTATTAATAGCTTTGAGTTTAATTATAACAGTACCTCATTGCTGATGTGAACCTGACTGTGCCAACTGCTAAATTACAAAATACTTCATTAACTATTAATAAAGCAGAAATTAAGTTATGATTATACACACACATAGTTGTGTAATCTTGACAAATTTTCAGTAGTGTAGGAAATCATGTACGAGTTTTTGTTTCTATCTGCATATCTTGTTTTATTACTGACCCAGAAAAATGAGCCTTAGTAAGCTTTTATCATACTGCACAAACTTTAATCAATTTGAATGTTTTTGAGTAACTGTTTTAAGACAATTTTGGATACAAAATCTCTAAACAGTGCAAACAAGGTTTCCATAATTTTCAATACCACAAGATAGAGTTGAGGAAGAAATACAATTGTTGGAAAACTTAGTTTTCTAACTATAATGCCAATTTTTGGATAGATAAATTTCCTGTAGTACACTTCATATCTTATAATCTTACAAACAGTCAGAAAATAATGTTTTGCAAACACTGAGCACCATCATAGGTTTTGTGACTAATTAAGACACTGTTAACAAAATCTTTCCTTCATAACTAATTCAAGCAAATTATCTACAAAATGAAACTCCAGGTTCTCATCCATGACTTGTTTATGCAATCACATGCACAACAATACATAACCATCTTATACAGTAAAATAAACACTTTTCATCACCTGGGATTCAATACTTTTCCAATACAAATGACACATCATGCCATGCAGATTACAACAGCTAACAGGTCATGTTCAAAGTCCATTGTGCATGAAACCAAACCTTTAGCTAGCTCTTGTAACATTTGAAGCTCCTTGGTATTTACTACTGTAATTGTTTCAAAGATGAATTTTTTACATAATTAATACTTCAAATTGTCAATACTCAGTGAAACTCTATAGTTTCAGAAATATTTATCATGACCATGGTTTTGCCATAATGATACCTTTACTGGCAAAATGGTCATATCATCAAGTAAAGCTTTTATCACTTTGTTCTGATCCTTATGCAAATCTCCATGACAGGAAAGTATTAGCTAATACAGTTGAAAAGAACTGAAAATTAACTGTCATAAAATGTTTAAATCACTAGCCTATAATTTCTCAAAGTTGATATATACATCTTTACGTCACATGAGAATAACCAAGGCTGGAAACCGGGACTGACTGAAACCATCAAAACTGCACTTGTATTGAAGTTAAAAGTTAATATTAACACTATTTTGATTAAACTATTTAACCTTTATTTCTAGGGCAGGCCTCAAAAATATTTTCAGATCTAGTAGCCAGTCCCAAAACTCAGGAGCCAGGTAGGACTAACCTAACTTTACTACTGTTTGTACCGGGAAATGGAGGCTACAAGAGTGCCTCGATTATCCGCTTTTTATTTTCTTTTTCCTAAATTTTCTAAAATAATTGTGCCATTACAATTCTAGACAATAATTTACATGTTTTGGAGGAATTGTCATTCAGAAATTAATTTTGGTTGCAAAAGTTCAGGTCTTGCATAATATCCAGGGTTTCACATGCAGGATCTGGCGTGCATTCAAATCGTATGTCAGCCAGTTCAAGCTTAGCCTTGCCTCTTTTATTTTTAGCTGTTAAGACAGGAATACAAAATATTTGTAGCTTGGTTAATTTTATCTGATTAGTGATTAAAAACATAGCATACAAAAACACATAATATACACATTACAATTTCTTAAATATATCACTCAACGTCAGTTGTCATCTGCTGTTCTATTCAGCATGGCAGGCATCCTTTAACCACAGATGCATGTTCAGGTTGTGTTGGGGGTGTTGCCCAGTTATGCATTGTCTTCTTACCTTCAGTCTGTTTTAACAAAGGCTCTTTTGTAATAATTCCCAAGCACAGATTTGTGCTAATTTTTAACTTATTTTTCACAGACGTTGATAGGGTGTAAATGCACTTCCATGTCAATAGCATAAAAAGTGCTGAAATTTAGGAGCTACTTACCCCTAAGTTAGTAATTAATTTCAACTAAAACAAGAATGGGCAATCAAAAGAGGAATTATTATAGGAGAAAAAGTGAACTTGGACTCGTATAATTCACAAAATTTGGAGAAATCGAGCATAACCAACCAACACTTGACTATTATGATTGTGACTTATAATTTTTCATGATCATGTAATTAATTGAGAATAAAAAGGTTATAAATTATAACAAGGAACTTAGATATACTGAAAAATGTTACTCAAATTAAACAATGGGCTAACTAGTGAGATACACTACTGCTTCGATTATCCACGATTTGTTTTCTTTCCCTGGACCAGTGCAGATAATTGAGGCACCAGTGTATATTTATTTACTTTCACAGCAATGAGTACATGCTAACGATCACATGATAGTATTGCCTGAACTAACTGTCTTTGGTCCCGTCCGCGTCTAAACATGCGCAGTGATTCGTTGAATTCAGAGAAAGAAGAAAAACAAAATGGCACGAAATTAGTAACGTGTTGTACAACTTCATTCCTGAAAAAACATGAAAAATTGCTGAATCTGCCATTAAAATCATACAAACAAAGTTTGATTTAGGACTCGAAGAATGCAAAAATAGTTCTGGACTTTCAAGAGTCCATAACTTCTAGATTCAAGTTCTATTTAGCACAGTCCTATGCACAAATAAAAGGGGGAAAAAATACTAGGTGCCTCAAAGTTTTAGACACCATGGTGGCCAGAATTTGAGGCTTGTTCTAGGGATTTACAAGTGTATTATTCTCAAAATATATCATGAAATTCACAAACACCAATATTTTCATTCAAAGCATGCTGAAATCAACCCAAAATCAAATTTTTAATTATGTTAAAATTAGATAAAACTATTTTCAGTAAAATTCCCATCTAAAGTATATATTGTTTAATATGTAGAAGAACAACTACAAGTTTATTTTTTTAAATCTTTTTAGTTAAAATGTGCAATTTCACCATAAGTCAAAATGCACCCATCTGAGCATAACAGACATTCAAAATGCAGGAACACACACCCAAACCATGCCAAAACACTGGACAATAAACTTCTCACTTGCCCAATGGAAAAATATATGAAAATAATAATAAATCAAGCCCTGTACAATATATCAAATTATTCTGCTTATTTGTATGTACGACTGTTACGCTTTCTTACCAAGAACCTGCTGCATAAGCATGCAAAGTTAGAATGTTTCCCCAAGAAAAACCACGCATGCGCATTATTCACTCGACGACAAACAGTCTGCTGCGGCAAAGAGCTACAATTGCTGTATGAAACAAGAAGTAATAACAAAAGGGGAATGTAAATATACTTTACTAACCATTTTGTACAACAGAATATTCAAAACCTATCAAAGTTTTTAAAAAAGGTTTGACGTTAGGTCATAGAATAACATTATAAGTTTATATTTATGGATAGTATTAAGTACAGAAAAGTCTAGTCCTAACTAAACTAAAGTAAAAAAAAAAACTTACACAGGTTACAGTGTTATCTCTTTATCGAACTTAGGCCTAACAAAAAATAAAGTTTTATAAAGTATGGCTTATATACAAGTGGATTTACACAATTCGTTTGTATTGTGCTAGAAATGTTATATTTAAAGAAGTACTGTTACGATAAAGATACTATTTTGGCCAGAAATGTTTTGCGGGTGTCTGCTAGTACAGAAATAAAAAGCTGGCTTACTTATAATTTTGATGACCTAAACACTTTTTCAATATCAAACTCAGAATAACTTAAAAAAAAAAAAAACAACCAAAAAACCCTTTTATTGCTGCTAGTGAAAATCTTTGCAGGCCCATTTTTTGAAATTTCTTAATTTAGCACTCCTAAAGCAACATTACCTTAGTGTTAGCAGCAGGTCTTCCCAATTCAAACTTCCTCTTCTTTCTGCTCTGAGTTTGCTTCCCACCAGTCTTCCTACGTTTATGCCAGTGATCTCGTGAAATACCTGCATGATAATGTATGAGAACAAGTTATTTTGAGCAAAAGCTGGAAGTGGTATATGTAAAAATAAACATTTTAAATTGACCATAAAAATTTTTAAAGTTGAAATTATCTTTGTTGTAAAATAGCTGAATGAGTTTTATGTTTACTGTAGGTGCTACTGACTGGATATTTTTCTTTTTTCTAACCCCAACATGCAATTTCATTTTGTTAAGTTACATGCAAAGCTAATGAAGAGCTATCTACACTAGCTGTCCTTAAGTAATAGACTAGAAGGAAGCTAGATAATCAATACCACCCACTGCCAACTCTTGTGCTACTCTATACCAATAAATAGTGAAATTGACCATCATGTTATAACACCTCCATGGCTGAAACTTAAAGCATGTTTGATGCTGGGTTTCAATCCCACGACCTGTTCATGGAAGTCAAACTCCTTAACCACCAGATCATCCCAAGCCCTGCAATGTAATACTAATTTTCTTGTGGCTCATCTTCTGTTTATCAAAGTGAAAAACACTGAAATTGAATAGAAAACCATATTCCAAAAGAAATTATCAAAAGCCTAACATCAAAATACCCACCATGTTTTCTATTCCAGGTGTCTAGACAATTTTTTAACAGTAAGTTGTGTGATACCAAATGTTTGTGACTTAGCATCACAAAGAAAAGTTCTGTTATCATATAATATGATACAAAGCCATGAATACTGCAGTAACACATAAAAACATAACTGAATGCCACTGTGACTATAAAAAAATAAAAGTTATAGATAAGTCTTTCAACTTTAGTAACAAAGAATAAAATACATTTATTGCATTGCAGTATGAAAGTCCCTGTAATAGCACAACTACAATTATACTGGACACTTAGAACCTAAATTACACTTTAGTTTCTAGTAATCACAATCTTGTGTTCATTACTTAATCGACGAAAATTAAGTGTTACTCATTTCTTTAGATCGAACATCAGAGAATTTTGCCCTCCCACAATGCAATGTCCACATAGCAACTAAGGCATAGAGGCAAACAAATAGCACAACAAAGGGGAAATCCTGTTTATACAGCACCTTTGCCCACTGTCTAGACTCATTCCTAATGACTATTTGTGTTAATGACAATCTTTTGTTGTTCCAAACCTGCAAATATGGTGAAGTTGTGTGTTCAATTGCACCAATAACAGTTCAAATTCACAATGAATGTGTAATAGGACTGCTGAAAGTGTTATACAATCCTGCAAGGAACTCTACCCATTCAGAACGTGAAACAAATTTCAGATGAACTCGGTGAAAAAAAATTGACAACATTTATAAGATTGTTGATGTCTGTGCTGCACTCTTAAACCTAGGTGAAGGCATCCTTTATAATGAGTGATGTCTGTGCTAGTTTGTACAATTCTCAAGGCATCTGGCTTAATGTTGCAACTGGAACCGAAGCGATATCAACTAATCTTTCCTGTTCTGTTCAGAATCATTTTTCTTTTTAGTTGCTATGCTACACAGTAAGACATTGAATTCGTTTATTCTGATGCATTTTGGCTATATAATTATAATTAGTACATGGTCACCAGTTTAATCTCTAGGTGTTATCCCTCTGACAATGTGGCACTACCTGAAACTGTTGAAACAAATTATTTTGAACTTTATGCCATACTTGTCCAATCAGTGTTGTTGCTGCTTTATCAACAAATAGAAAAACTTTCTTCTTGTTTCTTGTCTTATGTGATTCATTCAGTCTCTATTCTTCTTCACATTCTCATTTTTCATCACACCTACATTCATAAACACTGTTTTGTGGCTTTACTTTGTTCTGTAAAACTTTTTATACTCGCATTTCCACCCATTTTGCATACTTTTGGACCAACAAAATTTGAACACATCACCATACAAAAATAGAAAAGGACAAGGAGTTATATTCATTTCATAACTTCAATGTTTATACAACTTTTCACACTGTCCAATCAACTTAAGAATTTACAAAGCTCATTTAGAAAATCATATATTGACAACACCACCAGCAGATACATATATATATATAATCACTTGCTCCCTGCCTGGATTTAAGATGATTGAAATAAAGATTTATCTTCATACTTTTGACCTTATACTTATCCCTATAAAAATGGTTTTCTCATCATAACTTCTTAATCCATTGTTGAAATTTGGGAAATAGCTTGAGGATGAGATCTACATTACAGACTATCAAAATGGTTACAACCCTCACATTTCAAGACATATCACATAATTGATGATTATGTAGTAATTAATAAAAATCATGGAACACCTAATGAAGTTTTCCATAGTTTATAGTGTTAGAAATAGCACAAAGATGTTACATGCCACATTTCAAGCAGAAATCTTATTCCTGTAGAGAGTTACCATGTTCAGACCATGCAAATGTTGCTTTTGAGAAAAGTTTGACAGTTCATATTATCTATGTATATATTATGCGTAAATGTAATACCACTGCTGAATCATCAGTTTTCATGGATTTAAGTGGAATTAGTTATGCAGTTTACCACAGGAAGACTTCCTGCTTCATTTGAACCACTTGGGTCATAACTGTACTCTCTTCGCAATAGTGTTACCAGGCACAATCACAACTGTGATATCACACTGACCTCAGGAATAACAAACTAGCAAACAACAATTTATAAACATAATGAAATTGTTTATTTTGGGGGTAACATACTATATACCCACTGCATTATGCTTATAAAATGTTGTTTGTCAATTTATTATTATACTATACAACACTTATGAAATCCCAAATTTCTGGGATTAAAGCACAGAGCTATGTCAAGTAGCACACTTCTAACCATTAGAAAAAAAAAAGAAATAGATTACATTAAATGAATACAGCACCAAGAGATATAAACTACCATCACCTATCATTAATGCACTTAATGAAGGAGCTATTGTAAAAAACATCAATATTTTGAACTGTTAATGACTCAAAAACACAAGTTATTATCACAGGTAAATACAGTTAGAAACTTCTACTGACATACACTATCTTAACTCTGTTTCAAATCCACTGCTTTATTACAAACACTCCTTCCTACAGTATATTTCAAAAGATTCGGGAAAGTCAAACACCTTTGGATAGTTTATTGATCTTCACAACTGAAAAAGTTAAAGATTAATGAGTGTGGGATAATGTCACAGGAGTAGAAGTTATTTGCCAAGGTGGCTGTCAAAACCAAAATGAAGAGTGCAACATTAGGCAACGGAAATGTTGAGTTCAACTCAACAAACATTTCCTGCTCACATCAAAAAAATATTGATCGATCCAGAACCTGCTGTATAAAGACATTAAAATACAACTTCTCAAACTAATAATAATTGTTTGAGCACTATAATAGATATGAAAAATTTAGGGAAAAATATTAAACTTAAATGCATAAAAGCAAAAAAAGACCTAAAGCTATCAGCATGAGTATTCAGGGTTCCCAAAACTCTCTTAGCTTCTTGCTTTAAAGTATAGACAAGGTAAGAAAAAAAAAATATTCAAATTCAGACGTTTCAGCATTGCAGCTTCAAAAGGACTAACCCGTACAAAACTGTTTAATGTAAAACGGAACAAAACAATGTCTGTTGAAATAATTTGTGTGCCTTGGAGAGCAAATATTATGACTGTTTTTCTCAATTCATTGCCAAAATAACCTAAATCCCTCCAATATGCACTACAAATAATGAAAAAGAACAGAACACTTTAGGGTTAGGAATTCACATGCTTACCGTGTTGTTTCTTTTAACCATTTAAATGCAAAAGTCTGTTTTAAGATAGTACACCTGTATTACTTTAGTTTGGTTTTTATTTCACATGAAATTAACAACTAAAACTTAAAAGTCAATGTGGTAAAGATTCTGTTACTGTAATGGCATGCCGCTACACTAAATTAAGAGAATCCGACAGCTAGAATCCATCCTAACGTTGAAAATATTATGCATTGTTTTATATTAATTCATACAATTATCAGAAAAATATATATAATATTCAAGTAAAACTAATTTCGTTAACTCGAATAAAACACAATACTTTATATTAAAAAACATTCTTATATCGATTGCAGTTGATTAAAATCAACAAGAAATACACAAACGTACCCATTGTGGACACCAACCACGAAAGAGACTTTCTAAAGGAATTGTGGGAAAAAAATTCTGCCAAGAGTTAAACAAATTACTATATTAATCGCTATTATATTAACAAATTAAAAATAAAATTGGCATTTTTTCATTTTGGATATTAAATTGAATAGTTTCAAGCATGAACATTTTTAAATCATTCGTTTGAAATAATATAAACTCTAAATCCCTATTAATAAATTTCTAATATATGTTTGAAGCATAAAATACTTGTACTTCACAGATTATACATTTTTAAATTCCCAGTAATGTAAAACTTTATTCAGAAATAATTCTAACCCGGATTTCTGTTGTTGTTTTGACATTAGTTGACTCATTATCATCTAAGTATTTTTAAGCGACAGATAAAGATAGTTAATAGCTATTAAGACAAGTATACAATTAGGTAAATAATGCAGTTGGTTCATGATTCAATCAAAATTTTAAAAGCTTAATTAATGCAATATCCATTTGTTTAATACTAAATTTAACATTTGCCCAAATCCACTAATTTCTTTTTCTAAAATAATTAGGTTTAAATTAATAATTATGTTTATACTTTCATTAAAAATTGTAACAAACTTAATTGGTTTGATAATTGAATCGTTTGTATGTGTGTGCGTGTGTGTCGTTGTTCTTGTTTCATTTCGTTCGTGAATTAGCGTAAACTTATATTTGAGAAGTTGTTTCCTCACCTGAATAAACTGTATGGGTTATTTTAGTCTATTGATCGAATCGTATATAACTATTTTCGATTTGAAATAATCACGTA